TACTCCTTCGCGTCGAAAGGAGTCAGCTGAGGTGGTTCGGGCATCTAATTAGGATGCCTCCTGGACGCCTCCCACTGGAGGTTTTCCAGGCACGTCCAACTGGGAAGAGACCCCGGGGAAGACCCAGAACACGCTGGAGAGATTACATCTCCCAGCTGGCCTGGGAACGCCTCGGGATCCCCCAGAATGAGCTGGAACATGTTGCCGGTGAGAGGGAGGTCTGGGTCGGCCTGCTTGACCTGCTGCCACTGCGACCCGACCCCGGATAAGCGGTGGAAAATGGATGGATGGATGGGTGACACTGACAACTAACAACTACAACGAATTAACTAAAGTGGTCAAACCATTTTCCCGCACAATAAAGCAAACTTTACATTTTTTCTAAAACTTAATTTCTATCGTGACATACATAGATGAAATTCAATCTCTGCATTTAACCCATCCTCATCATTCAGAGCAGTGGGCTGCTGTCAAGCACCCAAATGCAACTTGGGGCTCAATGTCTCACATAAGGACACTTTGACTTTGCCTCTACATCACCAAGAAAACCACGTGACATGTTCATTTATTATGACCCTGATCTTGAGATAGGCCATTAATGTCGGTCAAAGTGCACAGAACAACCCCTTTAGTAGTTTTGTGTATAATGGTTTTGAGAGCGCACCATGAATGTAAAGTTCCCTGAGGTTTTAATAAATATCTATATCTAAGTTTATTCTGTAACCTACAGTACAAATAGAAGTCACGCTTTAAAGGAACAGTGTGTAACATTTTGCGGGATTAAATGGCAGAAAGTAAATGTAATATTCATAACTGTTTTAATCGGTGTATAATCACCTGAAAGTAAGAATTGTTGCGTTTATATCTCCATAAGGACCAGGTCCTCTTCCATGGAGTCCACCATGTTGCATTCTACAGCAGCCCAGAACAGACAACTGAACACTGGCTCTAGAGAGAACCTTTCGTGTTTTTTTCATTATCTAAAGGGAGGGATGGCTATCAAAACCCGGAATAAAGGGGCCCTGTGCTAATTATTAAAGATTGTAGAATTGGTAAGCCCTGTTACTGGTCCTTTTTAATAGTATGTTTTAATGTTTTGGTGTCATTTATTATCACGTTGCAGCGAACATCTCTTCTGCTCTCTCTGAGCACACAAACTAACACAAACACAGACACATGAAACAAACATAGCAGAGAAGCTGAAGTGGAGACACTGAAGTGAACCAGGTGAAGTGAAGATTAGTTGAGTTGATGGCAATTACGCTCCTTACTGTTAGTGCAATAAAGTATTTTCCAGTAAAAAGCCAATACTTTATCAAGTCATCTTTTCAACAAGCATGAACATGTAAACGAAAGTGAAACCTAATTCAATCGGCTCTGTCCACAGTCTCTCATCAGCGCCGCCATGTTTACACAAGCACAGCACGCACGATCGGCGGAAATGTTTTTTTTTCCCAAACAAGCTTATTAAACAGAAGCTGTCAGTCTGTCTGTAGGCTGTTTATCTTTGTCTGTTCTTGTAAACTTCTCTGCTGGCTGAGAGGACACAAGGACAGAGGACACGAGGACAGAAGGACAGAGGACAGGAGGACACAAGGAATGACTGATACTGCTGATGTCTGTGTTCCAATTATATATTTTATGAAATTTTACGTTTGTTTCCAGGGAGATATTAATGAATTTATGTAGTGACTTTGATGCTGTAGACATAACTCTTGCTACATTAGAAATTATATTTAGTTATATTTCAAGCATAAATACATTCTAATCCTGTTCTGAATCGATTTGTTGTTCAAATTCTTATGTTTATGAAAGCAATTATTTAATCATGAAAAAGAACAGCGTATTGATAAGAGCAGCTCCTAGTGGAAATAAAAGCCTAAAGATCTACCTGAAGGCCAACGTAGTTCTCTGACACGCTTGGGAAGGGAGGGGTATTTAGTTGGTTGCATTCTGCAAATCACTACTAGATGCTACTAAATCTTACACACTGTTCCTTCAATAAGTCAGTTCATGGTTTATTTAAGGGTCAGTTCACCCAAATGACTAAACATGTATTCTCTCTGGTGTCTTTCCATGCAGATAGTTTTGGTGTTGGCTTTTATACCAAAAAAAGCACTGTGTAAACAAACTCAAGGGGCTGCACTGGTGTAGGTGTGATGTTTCCAAAAATGTAAAAAGAAAACAGGTGAACTACTCCTCGATGGAACGAATGTGTGAAAGACGTCAAACACATTCTGGTATTTGCCTGTAGAGCAACTCATTTGTTAAACTCTCAAATATTTTATGGGCTGATAGAACATGTATCAAATTCTATGAGATTGTTCACCTGACCATACAATACTTCCATGTCTGCATCATATCTTAAGTTCATTGGTGACCTTTGACCTTGTCTTTCATTCCAGTTGTTATAGAAATGAGACCAGGTCAAATTCTTCAGAGAGTTGCTCATAGAAGTGAATGGCTCAACAAAATATTCCATCCGATATCTTCTTTTGTGAATGTCTTGTGACATTTTCCATATACCTTTAGAGAATCCCAGTTTCTGAGTGACAGAACGTGCGATCTTGGAGGTGGTGGCGTCGCTGTACAGGTATACCTCGTCCACACTGTGCCAGTCCACATGACTCCTGCTCAGCTTCAGACTGTGGATGGCTGCGAGACAGGCACACCGTGATTAACAGCAAGTGACACACTTCATCCAGCATAATTAATTCTCCATTCCCCATGATGGTGTGTGGAATGTGTGTGAAACTCCATTGCATTGAACACCATTTACTAATGTCGTGATACAAACTGTACACATACTTCGGGTGAGCTTCCTATTGGTTCAGCTGAAGTCAGCTAAAGTAACATCACCTGACTTGTTTTATGGCCCCGTTCTGAATGGCAGAGTCAATCCCACCACACACACACACAGTTACCCTATACGCTCACACTCATCTCCACACACACCTATCTTTGTCTATCATGTCTTTCTAGGTCTACTTTCTGCCACACTCTCTAACATTCCTTACCATCCTTGCTGTCCACTGTGGTGGTCACCATCTCCATCTCATAGGTGTCCCTCATCTGTTGCCCCCGGAAACGTGCGAGGTGCTCCATCTCGATGTGGTCACTCTCGTCCTCCTCAAGGGGAAGCCAGGTTCCATCAATGAACCATTGACCCCTCATCACCGGAATACGGTCCTGTTCTGAGGGACATCAGTTCACACACTATTTGAAAGGTTGTGTAGCCTGTGCTTGCTTTTTTTACTTCCCTAACAGGAAACACAAACACTTTAAAGAAAAAGGGATGTAAAGTGATTGATTGAAGAAAGTGAAAATCAGTCAATCTAAGTTAGTTTGGCAATAAAAAAGAATTGAAAACAGAAAAACAGTGGGAGGTTCTTTGTGTGTGTGTGTGTGTGTGAGAGAGAGAGTGTGTGTACTGTAAATATTTCCACATTTCCAAATAATATCAAAAAAATATAAAAACGAATTGTTATCTTGGTCATTTATCAGGCAAAAATATAAAATATCTCTGGCTGCAGATTCTCTGTTTTATATCTTTGTAAACTCAACTGATGCTTTTTGACAGCTAATCAAGTAACTGATGAATCGACTAATGTGTAACTTTAGCACTAAAGATTAGAGGTTGCACTTGTGGCAGAAAACGTTTAAACAGTGGAGCTAATAGTCATGCTAGTAGTATGCTGGTATTATAGTAGTATGTGATAGTGATGTAGTAAAACAGCGGTAGTACTCTGTGGTAGTAATAATGCTAACGTTACTTATCAGGCAAAGGTAAGGGAGTAACACGTTAGTAGCAGTGGTAACTTTAGGCTGGTGATAGTAGTTGTAGATAGATAGTAGTAGTATACTAATATAGCAGTAGTTAATAGTAGCAATATATTTTAACATTATGGACATAAATCATTGACATGCTCACGGTTCCAGTAAACAGGGTAGCATTCCTTCTCCCTGATATCCACTTCATAGAGCCCCCCTCGGACACACACTGCCTCCACGCTGATGGTCATGTCGTCCGGGTCCCTCATCTCCTCTGACACCGAGAGCCCTTGTCCTCCGCCGCGCGGCACCGTCGACTCCGCCCGGACACTTCCACTGTCCATCGCTCCGCTCTCCGAGTGGATCTCATCGGACTTGGCTGCCTCCTTCCCCTCGGCCTCGGCGGGATCAACGGGGTGTTTGACCTTGTGAGGGTTCTGTTCACTGAATCTCCGATTGACGACCTCGATTTTTAAAGAGTCGTGTCCGACGAATGGCTTCCACGTCCGCTTGTCCTCTTTGTAAAACCACCGGACCTCCTCTGGTCCCAGCTCCGTGACGACCTCACCGCGGTGCCTGGAGCTATTGGACCGTATGCACTTCTTGGTTGTGACATTCCCGTCACTTTCAGTGTAGTTTGGATCAATTTCCAGATACGATGAACCCGCATATTCCTCCCCAGCCAGGCCCAGCATCATGCCATCCTGGGACAACAGCGGCAGGTGTCTGTCCAAGCCGGGCTCTCTGTCCCCATCCACATCACTGTCTCCCACCGGAGTGTCGTCGTAGCCGGACACAAACACATCATTTGCCATATCCCATTCACTACTGCTGACAGAGTTATTTTCCGAGCTCTGTTGTCGGATAGTCGGTTTATCATTCATACTGCTCATGATTTGGCCGCAAATGATTAGACTCCTAATACATGAAAATAGAGCAATACTAAATTCACAATGATGTCCCTGCCGTTAGACTACCAGGTTAACAGTGTCTTTCTCCCCAGCTGGTAACATCTGTATGCCCAACTGTTCTGATCCCGACACTATCTCTTAGCATCATAGCTACAGGTTCAAACATATTTACCCCGGCTGTTTAAACGACACATCACATTTAATCGACCTCCTACGTTCCTGCCTGTACATTCACGTTTTACCGTGAACACAACTGCTGGAATAGTCAATGAACGGTACTAGCTGGCAATCTCAGTTGCTCCATAATGTCAAGTTAATGTTAACAAACTACTCATTTCCTGTTGAAACATTCAAAATAAACACGATGCACGAGGAAGAATAAACAGATTTTATAGTATCAATACCTATAAGCGTATATATGACAATACAGCTTTATACAACTATAATAATATAAGTCGTTTTCTTTATTATTTTATCATTGCGTAATATCCAAACATAGTTTGAGCTTTTAATTTGAAGATAAATTCACCATATGTTAAATAAATGTGTTCTAGCTTTCGCTGTCTTGACTGATTATTTTAAACAAGAGGATCTAAAATTGCATCTAAAACTAAGCAATAAAATATTCATAATAAACATGTACTTTTTAAGTGGCTTGGAATTTACCTTACAGTTCAAATGTAAACGTAAAAATTATATAAAATAGCCTAGTTGTTGTGTATATTCCATAATGTTACCCTCTAGGCCACCGTAGTTCTCTCTGAGGCGTCCCTGTCCTCGCAGTCATGGGAAGTGTTTACCTCCGGTTTTTGTGATCGTTTGGATTATAAATCATATAACATGGCAGCGGTTTTTCTTGTGACCTTGTATGAGTACTCCCCATTGTTCTACATTAGTGTGGTTTTTCTGTGTTTCGTTGTTACCGCAGCCATGGTGCTGGGCTGGTAAGTGATATTTATGAAAATGAATGTTAGCTTAGCCTCTAACAGTTTACTTTTTTATTATATGTATTTTTACATATTAGCCCCTCACGTTTCCCTCGGATTTGATCGATTTATGCAACTGTTGTATATTGTTGTATTGTTACGTGGACTACATAATTACCTCCAATATAAGCATGACATAATAATACACAATGTAATGAAGACAGCTGTCACTTCTGTAGTGTCTGTAGATTCTTCCCATCGTTTCGGCCAAATAAATGAAAGTAACGTTATTAGACACACGCACACGGTTTCAAACTGTCTGAAGTAAAAATTAAGAAAATACACAAGTGCTTATTGAAGTGTGCAGTAAAAACTAATACAGGCATGGTAGTTAGATATGCCTTGTGTAAAAGTCTGGGTGACAGATATGAGGTCAGAGGAACACAGAAATATTTATGAATATCCACAATCATGTAAAGAGCAGTTGTAGAGATGTCTTGCTCTGGGATTTATTGTTGGACAGAGTGGAAGTTTGATTTGATTCGTTTTTTTATTCTTATTCTTTGTTAGGAGATTAAGAGAGCCATGCAGGACATAATGACTTCGTCCACTCTGTCTCTTGTCCTGCAGGTTCGGCTTCGATGTCCCAGTGATCCTTCGCAGCTCTGATGAGACGGAGTCTCTCCTGCCAACCCCGGAGAAGCAAATGGTTCAGATGACCAACCCCTTCATCCTGGAGATGGGTCCTGGGCCGGCATCAGTCGCTGGTGAGAACAGTCATCCTCCGTAGAGAACACTAGATGAAGAGATGGCCTCATGAGGAGTTTTAGTATGTGGGGATGTTAGAGGCTTCCTCCGGCCAACAAATACAGTGAAGGATAACATGAGAATGACAACAGCTCCTGTTCCAGAGTGCTACAGGGAAAGACTGTGGATGTCTCCACCTGAATCTGTATAATGTCAAGCTACAGGAAGTACAGCGGAGGAAATGGTTTCCTGTTTATGCAGATATCCTTCCTGTTCTGTGTCTGTTGTGGAGTTGGAAGCTTTCATGGGATAATATTAATTTGACCAACAAAGCATGTATCCAACTATAAATATGCAGGTTATGAATGTGCCAGCCGCTATATATCCAGTATGAGCATGGAGTGGTAGCCTTGTGTGTTTTGGCCCAGGCCATCATAACCGTAGAGGACACTCCTTGCAGACGGTGTGTCCCTGAGGCCCTGCTGTCTGGAGCCCTGTATCCTGAGCTGTTTCTGGGGCTGTGAGGTCAGCGCCTTGCAAGCCGCACTGAAGGCCCACCAGCACCACCCGCTCAGCACCCCCCAATGTCTGCAGGAGGCACTGCAGCTCCGCTACCAACACTGCCACAGCTTCCAGTATCCTTTACATGTGTACCAAGGTTACTTCATTAATATGATTGAACTCATTTGCTTTGACTTGATTTTAATATATTTAATCTTAGATTTTTTTAATCTTTTATTCTTGTTTTCTGTTTTTCTTGTAAAGTATCTTTGAGTTTACAGAAAAGCATTCAGTAAATGTGATTCATTCTTATGTATGTAGTATTGCATGTAACCCACCCTAAGCATCAGCAGCAGCTGCTGTAAAGCAGCCGCTGAGTATCTTGGGGTTCAGTGTCTCGCTCATGGACACTTTGACATATGGAGGAGCTGGTGAACCTTATGGTTAAAGGAGGACCTGCTCCTCCCTCTGAACCACAGATGTCTCCTCACTGTAAATGGAAATGTTCTGAGACAATGTCACGTTTATATTTGGCCATTTTTCTGTGGGGATAAATACATAAAGACACACAATGGCAAAATGCACCAAGAAAATCAAAGTATGTAATTTCTGTTAGTTATTAGTGATAGAAGTGCTTTGGGGTGGATGTTCCCTTCATAATGTTGACACAGTACTACTGTACAGAACTCAATGAAAGCTGCCAATGCTATGATTTTATTATGATGATGGAGATATGTCTTTGGCTTTACCCTCTGTGTACGGCTCTTTGACCCCGCCCCCCCCCAGCATCGGCAGTAAGGACAGAGAGGAACGCCGCACACAGATTCCTGCTGACCAGGGCATCGCAGACTTTGGGCCGTTGCCAAGGGAACGCTACCCTCTTGTGGCTGTGCTGACGCTGGCAGAGCTGGAAGCTAGAGACACGTACAACATCGTGAGTCCATTGCACATTCAGACATTTTGAGAAGTGTGGTTATTTACTGTTCGACTCAGATGGCCAGACTGTATTTTCACTACAGAGCTCGTTCATTCATCTCAGTTTAGCACAAATTGGAGAGTTCCCATCACACGAGTGTCACAACTACTCTGACCAAGCCAAGCTCTCTAGTGAGAAAAGAAAAGGAGAGACTTCAAGTGATTCCATAATCCAAACTTAAAGACACTCATTATGTCTTTCCTCTTTCAGGTGGCCAGTTTGACAGTTATTCATGTTCCTGATGACAAATACAGTCTTTCTGCACGGGTTCTCTTTCAGTACCTTCTCAACTCACAAGGGAACATGTTCGAGTTAAAGGTATGTCACATTTTGGTTCAAGCAGATTGTTCCGGACTAACAAGTTATTTATCAAGGTAACCACACTATGACTTCCAAAAACAGTGTTCAGAGAACACTGACCAAACAACCGCACTGGGAACATTTGTAGACCAAATTTTATGATCGTAGCCTCCCAGAGGGGTCCATGGTCTGAAGGTCTGCAGTGAAGTTTCCTGACTCTGGAGGGAGTATCGGTCCTGGAATGAAGGGCAAACTGCCACCAATGATGTTCTCTGCAGTCCTGACTGTCCGTTGTAGTCTGTTCCTGTCCTGTTTTGTGGTTGTGTTGTTTGGATCAGCCACCAAATAGGACAAGAACAGACAATTCTTTATATCTTCAGGGTTAGGCTTAACCCTATGTTTGAATATATGATTATCGAGCAAAACACTGAGTGAGTGAGCAAAAAAAAATAAAAGGGGACAGATTGTGAAAAAACTCCTCTTTTCAGTGCTTGTGCACATCCATCTTGGTACCTGGAGGCTACCAACCCACACACTGTGAAATAAGACGACTCACTTTGTTGTGGGCTACCTCGATCAGGAAACTGAAAAGAAGCATGATATGTCCCCTTTAAACAAAAGTCCCACTTTCATGCCCATCGTTCAATGATAATGCATGTCGGACATTATAAACAGGCCGCACAATCTATCAAAGTTCGATTTTGTATAGGCTTCCACCTCTAAGTACTGTTGCTATTGGGTTTATACCATGCCCATGAAGATTGATAAAGTTTTTTTTCACACCCATCTCATCGGGACCAAACTAAGCTCCCCTCACTGACTGCTCGCACCAGTGTGCCGCTCAGGTGGCTGCAGCACAAACAATGTCTCGCTGCTGTCTTCGCCATGGCCACTAAGGCCGGGGCTCTCTCCCCGCAGCTGGCCAGGGACCTCAAGAAGGTTGCGATGGCTGTGCTGAACCTGACCTCGGCCTGTACGGTGGCAGCTTTACCCTTTAGATCAGCAGGAGCTGCTGGATGGTCCCATATCCCCCCTGTGGGCTGTTTGGAACACTCTTACTGAACGCCGCTGCTCATCTGCACAAGAAGGTGAGGAAACACACCTTCTGGAGCAAAGCTGCACTTCAGCCGCAGCACCAGAGAGTAAGACACTTGCTCGAAGATGAAGCTCCCTCCAGCTACTGCTGTGCCTCAACACGCTCTGGCTCCTCCTCCACCTCTGAGTTATCCCACTCCGGTGGCTCCACGCCATTGCTGTAAGAGTCAGCGGCTGGGCCCCCACCTGGTCCAACCCGGCCGCCCTGCTGCTGCGGAAACAGTTGCGTTAGTGGCAGTAATGGGATGTGAACTGATTCCAGCTGCGCAACAGGAAAACATAAGCCCTTTTAAACTTTTTCCTCTCAGCCAGTCTGCTTATGCTCCCACTGAGCATTTTCCAGCTCCCCTAACACAGATCAAAGGCTCACCAATGCAAAGCCCAGTCTCTTCCTCATTTTAAACATGCGTTACTGACCTTAAGAATTATCAACCACCTCCCACCTGTCAGGGCGAGTTAGTGGTGATATTCCAGACTCAGGTTTTGGACACAATGTGGAACACTGAAGCTGTTGTGTTTTCAGCCTCTCGGCTGGCAGGAAGACATCCCATCTGTAGTGGGACGTAGTGAAGAAGCACAGCTCAGGGTGGCACAGTCTGCTATCCCTGATTACATGGATGTCGAGGCTAATTTCAAGCGGCTACATGATTCAGTTTGCCCATTTTCACCAGAAACTGCCAGAAGAACTCTCTGTCTTTTAATTTACTTGGGTGTGGATATAAACTCACTCACAATGAGAGCAAAGCTGTCTTCAGCCGGGCTGGATGCCCTAAACTATCTGTTGTCACACATCACGCCCCACAGAGTGGTGATGGCGCTGTCTCCATCCAGTTCGACACAAAAGGCGAACGCTGACCGTCCCTCCCTCACTGCATACAGACTTGGCAAACTGGAAAAAGTCCCAGTGTTCCTTCGTCAGGGGTTCCAGGAGTCACACATATCAGTGTAAACAGTCCCTCTCTAGATTTGCTGGGATGTGCAAGTCCCAGTAGTTAGTTGGAAATGAAAGAATCCCCCATTCCTCCATATAAAGTGTCTGGAACTGTCCACGCTGCTGAAAAGGCTGAAACCCTTTGCTCCTCTGCTAAAAAAAACAAAACACATCATGGTGATAACTGACAACATGACCGATGTGATGCTCCACGCTCAAAAACACTGGGTCCTACATTTCCCATAATACAACTGTACAGCCCCTTTTGATTAGACTATCTGTTTGATAAGCAGCCACATCATTTAAACGCCACACTTCTAGTTTGTAAAGCAGGCTTTCTGTTAGAAATGTCTTCTCCAGGCCTGACCTGAGATAACCTGGAAGTCATACATCACCATGACATTACCGTGATTACGTTTTAGCAGTAGTCCCTGTGAACAGCTAACACCACCTTTATGCCTCATGTCTTCGCAGCCTCTCTTCATGTCAGCTGACAGTGGGGGGGTATCTGAGCCTCCTGACTCAGAGCAGAAATCCCAACCCAGTGAACCCAACGAGGCCTGTAGAGTGGAGCCAAGTCCGGTGGCCGAGGAGGCGTGGCGGGGCAGAGACTGTGTGGTCTGTCAGAACGCAGCCGTGAACAAGGTGCTGCTGCCCTGCAGACACGCCTGTGTGTGTGACAGCTGTGTGTCACACTTCCAGCACTGCCCCATGTGCAGGGCCTTCGTCCAGGAGTCCTTCACCCTGACACAGGGACCAGCTGCAGAACAATGAGTCCATACTGAACCACTCAATGTTATTTAAGAGAACATATGCAGCAAGATGGGCATCATTGCAAAGTAATTCCTGCAACTCCCTCACAGCAAACTGGGTTACAGTTCAGGACCAGTCTCAGCAACAAGAACAGCGACAATGGTGCTCATGGACTGTACATCTCAAACTAAATGTTACTATAGTATAGTATTACTATAGTCACAAAAGACCATGTTTTGTTGTATTAAAGCACAGCAAATCCTTTAAGTGAAGCATGTACATTTTTTTATTATATTATCCAAAAATGCTGTGAAATCCAAGAAGTCCCCTGTTTCTTGGAACTGAATACATTACTTTATACTTAATGATGCGATTAATGCTCAGTCGATAATTCCCAGAGGTTGTTTTTTTTCTCTAACAAGATATTTCTGGAGCTTTCAAACAATGAATGTTACATTTGTTATAGGACATCAGTGTTTTTAGTCTGTACACTGAATACCTACAGCTGGTAGAGTGTGGATTTGGGATAGAGAGGTAGTGATCTTGCTTTTTCCCACATCTCTGCTGTTGACCTTTCATTATTAGTTTAATTTAAAATACTATAAGCATGTATCATTTGTTTTCAGCATGAATGTGACTGCTTTCATGAACACAGCAGATAGTGAATATGATATTTGAGCACTGACCATGTAAAACGTATCATGTAACATAATGAAGCAGAGTTCTTTGTAGAACTGGAATGTAGAAGTCAACTGCAGAGAAACCGTCTCCAAAAAGTTAGAGACAGGCATCCTAGCTCAGCACTGGCCACTGCTGATGTTTAATCAGATGTTTAAACATCAGCAGTGG